CCTTGGCCTTCCAAGGTGCTGGGATTACAGGCGTGAGCCACCATGCCTGGCCTATAGAGAAGACATTATTTTTGAAAGGAAGATAATTGGTTCATGTTGATGATTCCAATTTAAATTTTCACATTAAGCAGTTTTCAGAGGATTTTTTGTACTTCATATTTTACATTGAAAATCTTGGTTCCTAACATTAATACAATATTGTTTCAAAATGATAATACCAATATTGTTGTCAGTTTGTCTAGAGAATGAAGTTTAAGACTTTTGTAGCTGTGTTTTTCTTAGAATATCTTCTATTAAGGACATACAGTAAAATATTTAAATACCCTTTAATTCATTGTTTTAATATATCACCAGCCTGATACATAGATTTGCTACAGTTTCTTTTTCAAGTTTTTTTAATATGTGAAGTCAAAGCTAGCTGTATTCAAAAAGCCTTGATTATAAGTGTCTCATTACCCTCTTCCCTCCCTCCTTTTCTTACAGGTATAACCACTTTTTATTTCCTATTTGGTTTACTTTTCCAGTGGTTCTTTTTGCATATACAAGCAAATCCAGGCTATTTTTTATATTTCTCTCCGTTTTTATCCATGCATTTTTAAAGTTGAGATATATAGTTCACATACCATGAAATTCATCTGTAAAAAAGTGTGTAATCTGGCCGGGCATGGTGGCTACCAGCACTTTGAGAGGCCTACCCAACTGGATCACCTGAGGTCAGGAGTTCAAAACCAGCCTGGCCAACATGGTGGAACCCCATCTCTACTAAGAATACAACAATTAGCTGGGTGTGGTTGTGTGTCCTGTGATTCCAACTACTCAGGAGGCCAAGGCATGAGAATCACTTGAACCAGCAAGGCAGAGGTTGCAGTGAACCGAGATCTTGCCACTGCTCTCTCCAGCCTGTGCAATAAAGCGAGACTCCATCTCAAAAAAAAAAAAGGAAAAAAGTGTGTAACTAAGTACTTTCTAGAAGTAATGTAGTTATCCTTTGTTATCTGTGATGTTCCAGGACCCCAGCAGATACCAAAATCCACAAATACCCAGGTCTCTTACGTAAAATGGCATGGTATTTGCATATAACCTACACATATCCTCCCATATGCTTTAAATCATCTCTAGATTACTGACAGTACCTAATACAATGTAAATGCTATGTGAATAGTTATGTTATATTGGTTTTTTGTGTTTTTTATTGTTCTATTGTATTTATTTATTTATTTATTTATTTTTTGAAACGGAGTCTCCCTCTGTCACCCAGGCTGGAGTGCAGTGGCGAGATCTCGGCTCACTGCAACCTCCGCCTCCCAGGTTCAAGCAATTCTCCTGCCTCAGCCTCCTGAGTAGCTGGGATTATAGTCACCTGCCACCATGCCCAGCTAATTTTTGTATTTTTAGTAGAGATGGGGTTTCACTGTGTTGGCCAGGCTGGTCTCAAACTCCTGACCTCGTAATCTGCCTGCCTTGGCCTCCCAAAATGCTGGGAATACAGGTGTGAGCCACCACACCCAGCCTTATTTATTTATATTTTAGGAAGATTCTGACTCTGTTGCCTAGGCCGGAGTGCAGTGGCCCATGATCTCGGTTCAATGAAACCGCCACCTCCTGGGTTCAAGTGATTCTCCTGCCTCAGCCTCTCAAGTAGCTGAGATTACAGGCGCGTACCCGGATGATTTTTATATTTTTAGTAGAGA